TAGTGAGAATATTTTTTTTTCAACATGACATTTTGATGCTATTCCAATAATATGTTCCTGTTAACTGGGACTAGTAAAAGAGGTGACTTGGTGACCAATTCTATTTTTAGGGTGGAAAAAATGAGACTGCTTAAAGGCCTGGGTCAATTTCAAACTGAGTTGGTGAAACTATTTAATCTCCTCCATAAATTTGATTTAAAAACAATTCTTCAGTTTCCTAGTTGACTAGAGTCTATATGGAAGCTGCTTAAGAATTAAAGAGAGGTTTCATCTTATTTTTTGAGTACTTAAGACAAAGGCAAAGCAAGAAAACATTTCTTTATCCAAGTCAACATTAGGATTCAGTGCAAGTCAGGAATTGGAGTGCACCACCTTAAAGAAAGAGCCACTTCACCCCCCTACCCCCCCACCCCCCGCCCCGCTTCCCTCCCCGGCTCAGGGCAGTTGTGCAAGTGGCCAGAGGGGAGAAAAGTGAAGCAAGGCATTTGAGTCTCTTTCGCAGCCCCCAGAGTGAAGCCGGCTCTCTCTCTCCTCTTATCACTCCTCTTTCTTGGGCTGTCACCTTTTGCTGATCCAAGATACTCCAAGGGTACTTAGAGTCAATCCATTTAAAACAGGGACCAAACTTTTATAGTAAGTAGTAGAGAAAAGCTTTAATGGGTACTTATTTTGAAAAATTAAAGTTCATAAAAATATTCTTATTGTATTTTATATTTAAAAAACCTTAGTCATCATTGCAACAACTATGAAAACATATGAAATAAAGAATAAATCAAGTTTTGTTTTTTGGTGCAATTTTCCCCACACAGTTGGAATTGTATGATGGCTGCATTAGTTTCTTTTTCTGTGTTACAAATTATGGCAAACTGAACTGCTTAAAACAATACCCATTTGCCAGCTCACAGTGCTGTAGGTCAGAAGTCCTACCCAGTGGGCTTGATCAGGTTTCATGCTCAAGGGTCTCACAAGGCCAAAATCCAGGCGTGAGCCAGGCAGCGCTCTTTTCTGGAAGCTCTGGGCGAGAACCAGCTTCCAAGCTCAGTCAGGTTGTTGGCCGAGTACAGTTCCTCGTGGTCTGGGGGCTGGGGCCCTGTGTTCCTGTTGTCAGACGAGGGCCTCTCTAAGCTGCAAGAAGCCACCACATTCCTCGGCACATGGCCCTTCCATCTACGCATAGCAACAGGGCACAAATCCATCCTGCACTTCCTCTCTCTCTGACTTCCACTTCTACTACCGGCCAGAGAACACTCTCTGCTTATAGAGCTTGTGTGATTAGATAGGTCCACTCAGGTAATCTCTCTTTTGCCACATAAATAACACAGTCATGGGAATGATATCTCATCATATTCACAGATTCCATCCACACTCAGAGGTGAGGGAATTTTGCAATGGCAAAGATCATTGGGGATCACTCCGAGAATTCTGCTTACCACGGTGGCACAATATGACATTGTTCATGTAACGTTTAACATTTGCAGTAAAACCCTAATAACAGTCAAATTGATGGCATTGTCAGTCTTCCCAAGGATGGATATTGTAATCTTGTGATATTAAAATTACTGATCTTTGAAGTACCTATCAGGTCATCATCTTTGTTCATTTTAACTTCTTCAGCTGCTGGTAAGTCTGACTTTCCAGGTCCTCTTTTGTTACTGGTATTTGTCAGTGATTCTAATATTTCTACATCACGTTTGACTTCTGGAAACCCTGCCTCTTTTGCAAGACTTGCAATTTAATTTCACAATCCATTTGTATTCGCTTTGTTGGATTCTGTACAATATCCTTAGTCAATGAGAGACCAGTGGGTAAAGATGCTCGGAGCTGTCATGTGGAGCCCTGAGAGATGAAAGTTTCACTCAAGGTCACACATTTACTCAATGGAGCAGCTAGGATTGGAACTCAGTCTGGTTCTCAAAAAGTTATCCACTACTATTTTTAGCAATTGTCTATTAATATCCATTCATGCTCTGTACTCTGTTTAGAATGATAATCCTTACTTTTTCTTCCTGATAAACTCCTACTCATCTTTCTAGGACCAGCTCAAATATCTCTTTCCTTAAGAAATCTTCTCTGACCCACTCTGTATCTCTTTCCATCACACTCTGGCACAACTGATTCCTTTCTCAAGGCTGCTCCTGTAGCCCTGGTTCAAACTTGTATTACAGTCCTTAGCAGACTGTGTCCAACAAATTAATTTATGTTTATATCTCAGCTAAAATTAAACATCATGTAAAGGGAACACATCCTAATTATCTTGTACTATAGGTGTTTAGCTTAATTACTAACACATACTAAACATTAAATAAATGTCAATAAATTGCAGAGACACAGTATAGGTTCAAGGTAGACCAGCGGTTCTCAACTAGAGGTGATTTTGCACCCTCCTGAAGACTTTGGGCAATGTCTGGAGACATTTTGGTTGTCACAACTCATGGGGAAGGGGGGAAGAATGCTACTGGATCTATGGATAAAGGTCAGGGATGCTGCTAAATCTCCTGCAGTATACAGGACAGCCCCCCACTCACACCAAAAATATTATCCAGCCCCAAATGCCAACAGTGTTAAGGTTGAGAAAGCCTGAGCTAGACAATAGAGCAAGAGAGAGTCAGACCTTGGCTAGAGAGAAAAAACAAGGAGAGACGTCAGAATTGTGGCATTTCGGGCATTTCTTTAATCACAGAATTTAGGGAAGCCAAGAACATACTGGAAAACTGAGAAGAGTTAGGTCTGGGTCAGACTTGCACTGTTCATACACTCAACACTCACGGTTGCCCTGAAAACAAGAACTCCATATTATTGTAATGGCATAATGACAAGGAAAGTATACAGTAATTACAGATGGGTAGATTTTCTATCGTTAGTTTAACCTGAGAGAAAAGTTTGGAAGAAATTTGTCCCTGAGACAAAAAAAAAAAAAAAGATGAAAGAGAAGAAAATGACATCTTAATAAGGATAACTTGAAGGCATGTGCCAGAGAGAGTGTCATGTGTTACCATCATGTTGCTTCTCCTACTGACTCTGGGCAAGTTAGTGCAGGGCAGTGGTTCCCAACATGGAGTCCCTGGCACTGCAGTATCAGCTAAGACATCTCACGCCCCATTGCAACCTACCTCCAGGTAATTCTGATAACATGCATGCAGGTAGTAAATAACAGCGTTTCTTATCAATTTTTCTCACCTGTTCTTCTAATTGATCTCATGGCCTAGAAGGAGCCCTGGGCTAGGAAAAGGTTCACTTCACTGATACCCTGTGTAGGACAGCTTGGGTTTGAAGCAATCCAACCTGTTTCTTAGATTATTTTCCCTACAGATTTTATTGCCCTGCAGTGTGATAATACTCTACCAAGACCTTTGCTGTCCTTTGCATACATTAATCCACTTAATCCAGAAACACCAGTAGAGTAGACATTATCAGTCCACTTTTAAAAGTGAGGAAACAGCCAACAGAGATTAAGTAACTTCCCTGAGGTCTTGCAGCTAGTAATTGTTGAGGTAGGAATAGAATCTAGGTCTACAAAGCCCATATTCTCTGTACCACACGACAGTGGATTGCTGATGACCAAGGCACTTGGACAACCCTGCCATTTCTTTATTAGGCAATAATCAATTTCCTTGAATTAGATTTCCTAGTGTCCTTTGTTTTAGTAAGAAAACCAAGGACCCTACTGCCTTACGGTAGGCTGCAACATAGGTTATGATTTTTATAGTTTGTTTTGTTAGGGATTATATATTACATAAAAGTTTGTATTAGGGTCGAGTCTATTTCTTAGGTCAGAGAACATTATTTCTTTTTCATTTATGAGTATTGGTAATAATGTGTGAGAGAACAAAGTTGCTATTGGTTTTCAGAACAGTACATAAAAGTACTGGGATGAATTTAACCAGCGCCTGCCTTTTTATGTCTTCTAGTCTTTATAGAAGGTTGGTAAGTAAATTTAGAACATGTTCTGAACAATTTTTTAATAAAATTTCTTCTTTTCAGTCCTAAAAATGAGTCCTCTTAGAACCTCATCCAATCTTTATTTCAAAGAGAGAGAAGTTTTTTGTAAGAGTATAGGGAATCCAGGTACCTGATATCATGGGAATAAAAGTAACTTGGAAGAAGGTTCTTTTGCAAAAGTCATGTGGAAACAGATACTTGAATATCACACAGATGACAGAGGAATTTATGCTAAGCCTTTGGGTTACACCAACTGGAAAGACATAAAAGGTAACAATCTGGTGGAAGAAAGGAGTGGGCAAAAATTTGTGAGGAAAATTTCATTCTTCTAGAAAAGTATCAAAGAATTCCAAAAGAAACGTCCGGGAGAAAAATCAACAAATTCAAACTACTTTTTCTTCTGTCTGAAAGATTCCAGAGAAAAGTTGCCAAAAGTATAATTTGCTTTTGCAGAAGTGCACTCCATGGGATATTGTTTTCCTCAAGAGTTACTGCAGATGACTGGATCAAGAAAATGTGGTATATATAAATACAATGCGACATTATTCAGTCATAAAAAAAGAAGGAAATCTTTCCATTAATACAACATGGATGGACCTCAGGGGCATTATGCTAAGTGAAATAAGTCAGACTGAGAAAGGCAAATACAGTATGATCTCATTTATATGTGGAATCTAAAAAAACGAAAAACCAAAAAACAAACTCATAGATACAGAGAACAGATTGGTGGTTGCAAGATGTAGGGGTGGGAAAAATGAGTGAAAGTGGTCAAAGGGTACAAAATTCCTTATAAAATAAATAAGTCCTGGGGATGTAATGTAAAGCATGGTAACTTTAGTTAATAATACCGTATTGTATATTTGAAACTTGGTAAGAGTAAATCTTAAAAGTTCTCATCACAAGAAAAAATTTGTAAGTAGGTGTGGTGATGGATGTTAACAGGATTTATTGTGTGATCATTTCACAATATATACAAATACTGAATCATTATGTTGTATACCTGAAATTAATATAATGTTATATGTCAATTATATCTCAATTAAGAAAAAAGAGCTACATACCAGTAACTCGAAGTTTATCTGTACCAACCACAACTTCCTTTTCATCAACAGTAAACAGCGGCTTGCCATCCTTGGTGTTGATCTGAAACTGTTGACTCTGGACCTCTACCATTTTGGGACCTGAAGGATTAATTAAAACAGTTTATTAAAAATGTTTACTAGATGCAGTGTCAAAGTCTCTATTTTTACACATGCCATATCACCCAGCAATACCAAATTGCTAAACATTTTGGATTTGTTACCAATAGTTTTTTTGATTCTGTGATTAAACTTTTTAAATTCTAACCCAAAATCTATTAAATTATTAAAATTAATTTATGTCAAACGTGCTAATCTATACCAACCATATGTATGAATAAATTATTTAAAAGCGAATTTTTTCAGGTGAATTTTTAAAGTGAATTTTTAAAACTTGCCAAAAATAATTTTTCTACTCAGATTATTTAAATTTGTATTCTTTTGAGTATTAACCAACTAAGGATTTTGTATTCTAAAATGTGAAATTTGTGAAAGACCATCTAATGAATTGCTTGCTTTAATGGCCAAAGTTAACCTAGAAAATGAATCATACTCAATTCTCTCTCCTGCCCTCATCCTCAGAAGAGGTATTCCCCTCTTACTCCATGGAGAAAACAGACATCACCGCGGAAGAACGCCTTCAAGTTTCTGCCCTTCCCCTTCACCTAGGGCATTTTTGTCTTCTTTACTCCTTTTTTTTCTTTCAGTGACAGAGGCATCACTTTTCCCTTAAGGCTTAATCCCTTCACGTGAGTTTTAGGCCCATTGCTTTCCAAATCATTACTATATTCAGCAATGGGCGCTGCTGTATGCCAGGCTCTGGGGATACTGCACCCTCACAGAGCGTATGGGATCCTGTTCAAGTTCTCTCCTTCCTACACAGGGTTCTTGTCATTTTATGTTTCGTACTTTCTCTTTGTGCTTCTGATCTTTCTAACCCCGGTAGCATAACGGATTATTCTCTCTGGACGTTCCCTCTCAGCAGTTGCTTAAGGAACTACAAGTGTTTCCTAATTCTTTTATATGTCAGCTTTACATTCTTATCGAGAGAAGTAAGTTTACTGAGAAAATGGATATCTTATAGTTTTTGTGTTTGAGTCCTTGTGTTCCTCAACAGTACTCACTCAAGTTGACGGATGCCTGCTGGAAATTATATACAAGCTTTTCAATTAACACATTAATCAGTTTTGGATATGGTCACCAACATATTCTTTTGTTATTTCGTTAATTTGTACCTCAAAACCCTCCAAGGATTCTTCATTTAAATGTGTGTCTGTGTATGCGTGTGTGTGTGAAGCACACACAGTGTGCTTACACACATGCGTGTGTGTAAGAAGCACACAGGCTTCTTAAGGAAGCCTGGCTTTATTTCTTTGACAGTTGCCTGTATTTTTGCTCTTCTGAGCTTTCATCCAACTCAGTCACCCACTGATTGAGCATCACCATTCACCTCTTTGGGATCACCGATACATCTCACACATTTATCATATGAACACTGATTTGCATTAAATGATGATAGTGAAGTCATCTAAGTTTAAAATTGAGAGGAAAAAACTAGAATAATTTGCCCAGTAAGAATTCAATGTTTTGCTCATTGGAGATTCATATAACAATTCTAGGAGGCTTTATTAAGTGAAAGGGATTAAACTAAATGACGTATTTTTTTCTGTAACTATTGTTTCATATACATTGACGAAATATTCAACAAATGAGTTTAGTTGCATAATTTTTATGAGTATCAAAGCTATATAAACTCTTGCTTAAATCAAAGAAATGCAGGGAACCATCTGTTCCATTCAACACAAATTTATTGCCTGCTTTTTATGTTCAAGGTTCTGTACTAAGAATTGAGGACATATAAAGGAGTGAGGTGTAGGTCACAACTTATAGGAGTTCATAGTCCATTGAAGAAAAAAGCACGTAAATCTAGTTCTAGGACAATTTGATTAGTGCCCTGATAGAAGCTTGGACAGTGCTCAATGAGAACTCTGACAAGGAATTCACAGTCCATCCTTGGGGGTCAGGAACGGCACTCTGGGGAAGATGATGTCTGAGCTGAGCTCAAAGAAAGAGTCTGTGTTTCCCTGATGAAGGGACTTCAGCCTTCAGCCTGGATGAGGCTGTCCAGGTAGAGGGAACTACTTGAGCAAAGGCACAGAGGTGAATGAAATTCCATCTCCATTTTATTAAAAAGATACAGATATTGAATTTTAAATTTAAATATGTTTTCCACTTCAGAAGAAACTGTTCTTCAAGGGTTAATAAGCCCATAATCACAGGAATAAACATCTCTTAAAATAACAGTTTATAATTAATCTTTTAACTTTTATCAGTATTCTACTAGTTTTTATAACCTAGCTGGACACGGATTAGAGCTGAGCAAGTAATATTCTTTTGCAGCAGAGTTCCTTAAGAAATAAAATTCAAATTCTATCTTGGTGATAAAAAAAACGGCTATCTGGTAAAATAAAATTTTTAATGAAAAGCTTTGGTACAAACAAAGAAGGAAATAAATAAAAAATAAAGGAAATAAAGGAAAGTCTTATGATCTGATGAATTACGTATGTGAAATTGGCTTAAGGGTTTTTCTAGTGAAAATACAATCAAATTATTTCCAACAGAGGAGAGAAGTCAAGATGGCAGCATAGGTGGACTCTGAACTCACCACCTCCCACAGGCACAACAGACTTACAACTACTCTTGGAACAATTACCCCTGAGAGAGAACTGAAAACTGGATAAGTGGAACCCCTGCAACAAACAACAGTCCTGCCTGAGGTAGAAGAGGCAGAAATTCCCTTCTGAAGAGAAAAAAAAGCCACCCTCACAAGCCACAGTGCTTCACAGCTGGCCAGAAGCAATCCCAAGGTACGCAGCCTTCCCTGGAGGAGTCTGGGACCTGAGCTGGGGAGTGTTGCCGCTATAAGCATTTTTGGGACCCAGCAAAACCAAGATGAGTGTCATAATACCCAGCTTTGCTGGCTACTAACAACAACGGGGAATAACCCCAGCAAAGCTGGGACATAAGGAAATTAAAGCTGGCTCTTAAAGCACCCATGCACAAATTCACCTGTTTCAGAAAGCAACCTAAAATCACCAGAAAGAAAGGTGCACAGTGCTTTGGTGAAAAGAGACTCACCTAATAGGCTCTGGGTGCATCTCAGTAAGAGGTGACAGCTCTCCAGGGACTGGGACATCGGTGGCAGCCATTGTTGTGGCCTGGTATGGGTATGCCTACACAGACGCTGGCAGATGCCATTGGAGTTTTCCCCCTGGCCTGCTAGCCCAGGGTCTGCCCCACCCACTAGAGCACCTATTTAATCCAGCTCAGCCAAAGCAAGCAGCCTACCCTAGAAACCAGCCCCACCCAACAAGCCCTCAGGCAACTTGTGGGCCTGCCTAGGCTAGGTGCCTGGATTCTCTGCAGCCAGGCAAGCGGGTCCACCTCTGTGGGGCAGGGTATGCGCGAGGAGTAGGTGGAGTGTGTGGGGTATTGGGGGAGTGTGTGGAGCCTCTGCCATGGAGTGACTGGATCCACTTCAGGGGGTCAGGGCATGCACACAGGGCAGGACTGTGTTGACAGTGTGTGTCCCTATGGGGTGTGGCGCTTGTCAGCTGCAGAAGAGTTGTGCTTCTCAAATAGCCACACAGGGGATTGGCCCCACCTTCCAAAGCCTGAAACAATTGGGTGCTCCTGGGCCTGGGGCCAGCCCCGCCCAGCTGCAATCCTCAGAGAGCTGAAAAGAGTCTTATAGGCCAGAGATCTACAGCAATTGTAAGCCCCTGAGCCTAACAACCAGCCATGCTGGGGGCCTACTCACTTAACAGAAAAACTGCAACAGGAATGTGCTCTTAGACCTTGCAGCCAGCTGTGCTGGGGCTCCCCATGCCCGATAAAGAGACTGAAGGGCCCACAACAACTGCACACAGCTGAGCATTACAACCAGCCGGCCAAGGGGACAGCTCAGTCTCCCTGGGCGCCTATAGCAAGAGCAACCCTGCCACAACAGAAGGATACATGTAGCCCACATGAGGGTCATTCCTGGAACATTTGGAACTGGTGATGAGAGGGAAGCACAGTGCTGGGCCTCTTAAGGCATCTCTTACATAAGGACACCTCTCCAAGTTCAGGAGACATAGCTGACCTACCTAATACATAGACACAAGCACAGAGAAAGAAACAAAATGAGGAGGCAAAGGAATATGTTCCAAGTAAGGGAACAGGACAAAACCCCAGGAAAGGAACTAAATGAAACAGAAATAATAGCCAAAAACTTCCCTAACCTAAGGAAAGAAACAGACATCTAGGTACAGGAAGCACAGAGAGCACCAAAAAATATAAACCCAAAGAGGCCCACACCAAGACACAGCATAATTAAAATGTCCAGAATTAAAGATAAAGAGAGAATCCTAAAAGCTGCAAGAGAAAGGCAACCAGTCACATACAAAGGAAACTCCATAGGTTATCAGCTGACTTCTCAGCAGAAACCTTACAGACTAAAAGAGAGTGGCACCATATATTTAAAGTGCTAAAAGGAAAAAACTTACAGCCAAGAATACTCTACCCGGCAAAGTTATAATTCAGAATGGAAGGAGAGAGAAAGAATTTCCCAGATAAGTAAAAATTAAAGGAGTTTGTCACCAAGAAACCAGTCCCACAAGAAATGCTAAAGGGACTTATTTAAGGGGGAAAGAGAAGATCACAAATTGGAAAAAATTATCTGTTTCCATGATAAGAGGGTAACGGATACAAATGCACAAAAAAGAGGTTAGATATCAAAAAGATAAAATGTGGGAGGAGGGGAATAAAAGGGTAGAGCTTTTAGAAAGAGATAAAACTAAAGAGACCATCAACTTAATATAGATTGCTATATACATAGGTTATTATATATAAACCTCATGGTAATCACAAACCAGAAACCTATAACATATACACAAAAAACTAAGAGAAAGGAACCCAAACATAATACTAAAGAAAGCCATCAAACTACAAGGGAAAAGAGCAAGAGAAGAAGAAAGGAACAGAGAAAAACTACTAAAACACCCAGAAAAAAAGTAAAAAATGGCAATAAGTACATACTTATCAGTAGCTACTTTAAATGT